CCGACCTCCATACCTATTCTGTGTATGTGTGATAATTAATATTTATATATATATATATATATATATATATATATATATATATATATATATATATATATATATATATATATATATGTGTCGTACCTAGTAGCCAGAACTCACTTTTTGGCCTACTATTCAAGGCCCGATTTGCCTAATAAGCCAAGTTTTCCTGAATTAATATATTTTTTCAAATTTTTTTCTTATGAAATGATAAAGCTACCCATTTCATTATGTATGAGGTCAATTTATTTTTATTGGAGTTAAAATTAACGTAGATATATGACCGAACCTAACCAACCCTACCTAACCTAACCTAACCTATCTTTATAGGTTAGGTTTGGTTAGGTTGCCGAAAAAGTTAGGTTAGGTTAGGTTAGGTAGGTTAGGTAGTCGAAAAACAATTAATTCATGAAAACTTGGCTTATTAGGCAAATCGGGCCTTGAACAGTAGGCCAAAAAGTGAGTTCTGGCTACTAGGTACGACATATATATATATATATATATATATATATATATATATATATATATATATATATGTCGTACCTAGTAGCCAGAACTCACTTTTTGGCCTACTATTCAAGGCCCGATTTGACTAATTAGCCAAGTTTTCCTGAATTAATATATTTTTTCTAATTTTATTCTTATGAAATGATAAAGCTACCCATTTCATTATGTATGAGGTCAATTTTTTTTATTGGAGTTAAAATTAACGTAGATATATGACCGAACCTAACCAACCCTACCTAACCTAACCTAACCTATCTGTATAGGTTAGGTTTGGTTAGGTAGCCGAAAAAGTTAGGTTAGGTTAGGTTAGGTAGGTTAGGTAGTCGAAAAACAATTAATTCATGAAAACTTGGCTTATTAGGCAAATCGGGCCTTGAATAGTAGACCAAAAAGTGAGTTCTGGCTACTAGGTACGACATATATATATATATATATATATATATATATATATATATATATATATATATATATATATATATACAAGAAGGTACATAAACCCCATACCCATCTATTATGTGGCAGTAGACCTACATACCCATCCTGTGAGTGATATTCAAACCCATACACACCCTGTAGAAGGTGACGGAAAGACTACAGTGCCAAAAAATGTTTTTATCTAGTTATATATAATTTAAATTTGTCAATCATTCCTCGTAGAGTGATCCAGCAGTCAACTGTGGGAAGGTTACAGCCACAAGCACGTACCTCATCTACGTGACCAATCTTGTTTTGTTTCTCCTGACACAAGTGGGTAAGGGAGTAGGCAACTTCTGGCTCCTATTAGCATGCAGTGGTGGTGTTCCTTCCTATAGCTATGGTAAGCCATACTCTACTAGTTTCCTGGATTTGACCCGACAATCAGTGTTCAAGCAGGTCCCAATTACTGCTGGCTGAATAATGGGCCATCTATCAATTGGCGTCGTCAATCCTCCCGGGCGAATACTTGGCTAAGATTTCGGTAGTACATAATTTTAAGTGAAAAAATTACACATTTCTTCGACATTTGTTATAGAATTGTCTCTGAATTCAAGTATCTTTTGTGATGGAGGGTGTTTCGCACATAGTGACGGAGGATGTGCGAATAATTTTGTTGACACAGTTTACATTTGGTCAGGTCTACATCAGCAGATAATGAGAATTCCAGAGATACTTGTAACAGAGTCTAAGCCGAGCAGTAGTAACATCTAATCCCCCAAATTATAAACCTGTCATAATGAAGAAAGATTGACAAAGCTTAAGCTACATTCCCTGAAAAAATTGAATAATCAGGGGTGACATGATTGTAGAAGTCGATGAATAGACATAACAAAGGGGGTATTAATATTATTGGGTGGGTGGATAGAAATAGGATCTGCCTCGTATGGGCCAATGGGCCTTCTGCCCATTCCTTCTTCCTTGAAGAACCTTCATTCTTATGTTCTTATCTAGAAGTCTGCTGATTTTATTGGATGAGCCATAGATGTGTGGCTCCTCTTGCATGGATGGAAGGGAAATTGTCGTTTCAGTCGGTGGAAAGTAGGAAGAAAGGAAATTGTCGTTCAATCAGTTGCAAATAAAATACCGTTGCAATCGGTAGAAAGGAATACTGTACGTGGTTTCAATCGTGGAAATTAGATTGTCTTTCAATCGGAAGGAAAATTATGGTTCAGTAAGTGGAAAGGAACCCGTCGTCCAGTGGAGCTCGCCTAAGAGCTGGGGCAGCGGAGGTTGCACGTCACTTGTCAGAAGTGAAGGTAAAAAGTTTTCCTACTGCGAGAAGGCGGGAAGGTGGCCTTCCAAGCCGACTGGTTCAATGACTGGACACCGGCATAACTGGCGCAAGGAACCAGTCACTTATGGCCCCACCGGTAAGTGACCCTACGTGTGAAAGTGGAAAGATTCGTTCTGTAGACTATATTGGGTACGAGTGGTCAGTTCTTGTGCCTGGCCGAGAGGTGTGTCAGTAAGACACACTGGTTTTCCTATGCTTCAAAAGTACACAAGAATAATATTTTGTATTCACATATGTTTAATTGATTTATTTTAATATTTACTTGGTGGGAATTAATAGTGGAACAATCTATAAGAAGTATGGCGCTATGGCAACAACTTCCAGTGATACCGGTTTCTGGTTTGGTTAGAGTTGCATGAATAAACTATAATGAGGCGCTCCTTCTCGTTGACAGATAAATATATCTTGTTTTTTCTATAATGTCTTCCAGTAATCCTGGCAACGTTGTAGGTTTGCTGAGCTAACCTTGTTATTGTTAAGTTCAGTAGTTGTGGTAAGATAACTTTGTGATCGTTAAGTTCAGTAGTTGTGGCAAGATAACTTTGTGATCGTTAAGTTCAGTAGTTGTGGCAAGATAACTTTGTGATCTTTAAGTTCAGTAGTTGTGGCAAGATAACTTTGTGATCGTTAAGTTCAGTAGTTGTGGCAAGATAACTTTGTGATCTTTAAGTTCAGTAGTTGTGGTAAGATAACTTTGTGATCGTTAAGTTCAGTAGTTGTGGCAAGATAACTTTGTGATCGTTAAGTTCAGTAGTTGTGGCAAGATAACTTTGTGATCTTTAAGTTCAGTAGTTGTGGTAAGATAACTTTGTGATCGTTAAGTTCAGTAGTTGTGGTAAGATAACTTAGTTATTGTTAAGTTCAGTAGGTGTGGTAAGATAACTTTGTGATCGTTAAGTTCAGTAGTTGTGGTAAGATAACTTAGTTATTGTTAAGTTCAGTAGGTGTGGTAAGATAATTTTGTGATCGTTAAGTTCAGTAGGTGTGGTAAGATAACTTTGTGATTGTTAGGTTCAGCAGTTCTGGTAAGATATCTTTGTGATTGTTAAATTCAGTTATGTTCAGTAGTTCTACTAAGATAACCTTGTGATCGCTAAGTTTTTGTAAGATAACCATGTGATTGTTAAGTTCTGGTAAGATAGCCTTGTGATCGTTAAGTTCTGGTAAGATAACCTTGTGATCGTTAAGTTCTGGTAAGATAACCTTGTGATCGTTAAGTTCTGGTAAGATAACCTTGTGATCGTTAAGTTCTGGTAAGATAACCTTGTGATCGTTAAGTTCTGGTAAGATAACCTTGTGATCGTTAAGTTCTGGTAAGATAACCTTGTGATCGTTAAGTTCTGGTAAGATAACCTTGTGATCGTTAAGTTCTGGTAAGATAACCTTGTGATCGTTATGTTCTGGTAAGATAACCTTGTGATCGTTATGTTCTGGTAAGATAACCTTGTGATCGTTAAGTTCTGGTAAAATAACCTTGTGATCGTTATGTTCTGGTAAGATAACCTTGTGATCGTTAAGTTCTGGTAAGACATCCTTGTGATCGTTAAGTTCTGGTAAGATAACCTTGTGATCGTTAAGTTCTGGTAAGATAACCTTGTGATCGTTAAGTTCTGGTAAGATAACCTTGTGATCGTTATGTTCTGGTAAGATAACCTTGTGATCGTTAAGTTCTGGTAAGATAACCTTGTGATCGTTAAGTTCAACAAACACATCAAATATTCCCCCCCCCCCAGGCACGTCAGCTAGATCTGTTTTTTTATTTTTATTTGTTGGGCTTAAAGCCTATCAACTCAGGAGAGATATTAAGGTCACCACAATAGTACACTGACCCAGTCCGTCCTCCTAAGGTTTCCCAATGTCAAGAAAACGGTCAATGGAAAGTGTCCTTCCCTAACCGGGAGGGAGCCCGTCGGCCGAGCGGACAGCACGCTGGACTTGTGATCCTGTGGTCCCGGGTTCGATCCCGGGCGCCGGCGAGAAACGATGGGCAGAGTTTCTTTCACCCTATGCCCCTGTTACCTAGCAGTAAAATAGGTACCTGGGTGTTAGTCAGCTGTCACGGGCTGCTTCCTGGGGGGGGGCCTGGTCGAGGACCGGGCCGCGGGGACACTAAAGCCCCGAAATCATCTCAAGATAACCTACCAGAGGACCCAAAACAGAAAACGGGACAGTGCGTCACTTTCATTAGCCGCTTCCATTTTCTAGTACGACAATTTTTTTTGCCTTATGTAACCCTACGAGCGAAAAGCGACATTCCTTGTATAAGAGGACAGGTTGACTGATCAACCAGCAAGTTTGGCGCGGGGCTTCAAGTCTATTAACCTCTGGAGGGTTATTAAGGCTACCACAACAGTTTACTGACCACCCGGCAAGTATACTTCAGTCCTGAACATGGTCTAGGTCTAACGTAAGCTCATAGTATACTAGTATACCAAATATAGCAATTTTATTTGTTTTAGCAGTACGAACAGAGCTTTTTAAAAGATAAATTTCATTGCAATGTTTGGTGCAGAAGATACGCATTAACAGTACATTAGTGAGGTGCGTGACGTCTTCTGACAATAAGTATATTAGGAAGACAACTTAAATCATAGTATTGTAACTTGGCTACACCACAACACTTGGCTACACCACAACACTTGGCTACACCACAACTCTTGGCTACACTACAACAACGTCAGTAAAGTGCTGTATCACTCACGGTTCTGGTGAAGGATGAGCGCGTTGGATCAGCAAATTGCTTGTTCAGCACCCGTGGAGACTCAGCGACACGGAGTGTAGATGGCAGCACTTCTAGAGGAGACACGGCAGTGACACGGAGTGATAATGGCAGATACGGCCGTACGGACACCAAGAAATGGGAGCACCCTTATATAGGGAAGATACAGCGGCAGGGAGAATGGTTTATCAGACACGGCGGCAGAGAGGGGGTGAGTCTAGCAGGCACGGAACGAGTGTAGCGGCTACGGCGGAAGGGAGGGAGTCAGACAGACACGGCGGCAAGAGGAGGAGAGCGAGGAAGGCCGCCACTCAGCAGCGGTGTGAACGGTTGGAGCCCGTGGGGGAGACTGACCCAGGAGGGACCAGCGACCTGCCATCAGCGCGCCCTGGGGGCCTCCGCCAGGGTGCCACAGCCTCCCCCACACTCCTCTGGGGGCAGGCTACGACCAGGGGGAGGATAGCAGGATGAAATGTTCATCACTTTGTCCTTCACATAACCTTTTTTGCTTCGTTACAAGTTAATGAAGAACATGGCGGCTCTTGATGTAGACCATGGCCTCCGGGTCCCCGTAATAACGTAAGAGGTTTCTGTTCTTAATTCGTTCGTCCTCCAGTGACATCTCATTTTCTAATATTGTGATGGCTATATCGCCTGACTTGCTTTCTCTTGTCCTCCATAATCTTAGCCCCCTATTTCCCCCAATTTTCTCACCCCCTATTTCCTCACTCGCTATTTTCTTTGCACCCATTTCCTTATTTTTATTTCTCAAACTTATTTCCTATCCCCCTATTTCCTAACACCCAATTTCATATTCCCCCTACTTCCTTACCCTTATTACCTCACCCCTATTACATCAAACCCTATTTCCTCACTCGCTATTTCCTCACCCCTATTTCTCTTTTCCCCATTTCTTCACTCCCAACCACTTAGGCTGGACGATAAAGCGACGGTCTCGCTTCATGCACGTCGGCGTTCAATCCCCGACCTTCCAAGTGGTTGGGCACCATTCCTCTTCCCCGTCCCATCCCATATCCTTATCCTGACCCCTTCCAAGTGCTATAATCGTAATGGCTTCGCGCTTTCCCCTGATAATTCCCGCCCTCCCTATTTTCTCTCCCTTATTTTATTGCCCTTATTTCCTTACCCCCTATTTCCTCAACCCCTATTTTCTCACCCTATATTTCCTCTAACCTTAATTCCTAACCCTTTATTTTCTCTCTCCTTTTTATTTTTTTCCTTTTCGGGGATATTCCTGCGCGGACCCTAAGCCTCTGGCTGGCCCACTAAGTGTTGCTTGTTGCTGTTTTACTTGGGCGGAGTATGAGTGTTTATGACTCGTATGTTCACTTTAGTAAGATTATGCCCTGTGTGTTTAACAACTTCTGCTCTGTTGAATCTTAGTTGAAATCTTATTGGGTTTGTAACTGTGCACTGTGTTAGATAATGTTCAAGTGGGCTGTCGGGCATTTCTGCAGAGTGCTAACATCTCCTCTCATCGTCTGGACCCTGTAAGCCTATTTCACATGCACATGGGTATCCTGTCGCTGATTTTATTCATATATTCTTGGGTTGGAACCAACACATATACTGCTGTCTTGTCAGCTTTTCTTACTGTTACACCTTCCAGGTTTTTTAGTTGTTGTGCTGCTTCTTTGAGTCGTGGGGTTAAGATTGTTGATGAGTATGTTCTTCACCCCCCCCCCCCCCCGGCCTCTGTTAGTAGTTCACCCTGAAGTGCGTCAGGGGCGATGACTTTTTTGTTGTCTTCTAACTTATGAATGTCGTCCAGAAGCATTTCATTTTCAAGGCGTTTTTGATGCTTTTTTTGGTTTTGATAAGAATTGACAGTTAAGACCAAGATTCAAGAGGTCTTGTTGGTCTTGAGTAAGATCATAGGTTTATGTAACCATCTTTTGGACGAGGGATCTTTAACTGTCTACCGTTTAGGGCTGTCGACTTTCGGAGGGTCTTGGTTTCTATATGGGTTTTATGTTTTTTTTAGGTTGAGTATACATATATATATATATATATATATATATATATATATATATATATATATATATATATATATATATATATATATATATATATATATATATATATATATATATACTGGCAGCAGGTTTTCTTTCAAACATGTTTCATTGAATATGACCGCATATTCTGTATTTATTATTTTCTGGTTTAGGGCTTCTATCCCTCTAACTATTTTCTTAGCATCAGGGCTTAATTGAAATAGGAGTTCTCCAAAACTCATTTTCGTACTTTTAAGGTGAAGAAAAGAAGTGATTTACTATAGAGTGTATTACACTTATTTGTATAATTTGCACGACGTTTCGAACCTCCATGGTTCATTCTCAAGTGAACAGATCTTACAATACTAGTTGATTTTATACCCGCATTAGGTCAGGTGATAATACAATGAAGGTGAAAACATGGGGGATACATAAGGGATAAACATAGGGGCTGCAGAAGGCTTATTGGCCCATACGAGGCATCTCCTATCTAAACACAAAGATTAATCCAGTGTAATTGGCCTGTTATGTTGGACATTGTCTTCTGTGTTGGCATCGATATGTTCTTGTCTTGTCCTTACTCTCATGGTGGGTAGAGTAAATAGTTCCGTGATTTGGGTGTTCATGGTAGGTCGCTCTATTCTTATGTGAATTGCCTCAAGAATTTGTAATCTTCTTGAATCTTGGGTTTTGTCTATTATGCAAGTATTCTTGTTCAACATTTCTCTTGTTAGAGTAATGTCATGGGCTTGTCTCATGTGATTCCTAGGGGCACCAGATTGAAGATGGCATGTCAAACGCCTCGTCAGCTTGGTCGACGTCATACCTATGTACTTACATTGAAGGTTACATCCTTCGTGGGGGCAAGTGTACATGTATACAACGCTTGACTGCTGTAGAGGGTTCTCCGTCGGCTTCGGGCTGTTTTTGATAAGGAGTTCGGAAGTCTTCTTGGTTTTGTAGAATATTATCAGGTTTATGTTTTGGTTAGGAGTAGTGCTTTTTACTCCTTTACGGATTATTTCTTTCATTATTCTTTCCTCTTTTATATGTTCACTGTGCATGGTTGATTTGTAATATAATTTTATTGGGGGTGTTGTGGTTTCTGTTCTAGGTTCTGAATTATACCAACGGTCCAAGTGTCTTCTTATAGCAGCGTTTATTTCCGCGTTGCTATATCCGTTGTTCACCAATACCTGAGTTACTCTTTCAAACTCTCTACTCACGTTGCTCCATTCAGAGCAGTGGGTAAGCGCTCGACGAATATAAGCATTGAGAACACTGGCTTTGTATCTTTGGGGGCACTCACTTCTACCGTTCAGGCATAATCCTATGTTGGTGGGCTTGGTATATACGTTGGTGCTTAAAGAGGTTCCTGTTTTTGTTATTAGTACATCCAAGAATGGCAGACTGTTATTTTCACTATTTTCATGTGTAAATCGGAGTACTGACTCTCTCTCTAGGTGTCTTTTTAGGTCAATTAGTTCATCTGAGTCTTTTACTATTACGAATATGTCATCTACATAACGGCAGTATACAGTTGGTTTTTGTCTGCTACTGAAGACCCTATCTTCGATGGTTCCCATATAAAAATTAGCAAATAAAACTCCTAAGGGGGAGCCCATTGCTACTCCGTCTATTTGTAAATACATGTCTCCTTGTGGACTGATGAAAGGGGCTTCCTTTGTACATGCTTCGAGAAGACTTTTCAAGTGTGGCTCAGGTATGTCTAATTTGGGGGTGCTCTCGTCTCTGTATACTCTGTCCAGTATCATTCCTATGGTTGTGTCGACTGGGACGTTGGTAAAAAGGGATTCAACGTCCAGGGAAGCGATGATTCCATCGGGCTGGGTAGATTTGATCAATTCTAGGAAATCTGCTGATGATTGTAGACTAAACTTACTTGGAGTGTATGGAGTTAGGAGTTCATTGAGTTTCTTTGCCAGGTGATAAGTTGGGGTTGGTATTTGGCTGATTATAGGGCGTAGTGGGTTACCTGGTTTATGCGTCTTAACATTGCCGTAGGCATATCCTAAGCCATAGTCGCCTTGAAGTTTATTGAAATGCACACTACCTTTCTTTGCGTTGATTGCTGTAATTGTTTTGTTTACTTTCCGCTTAAGGTCTTCTACGGGGTTCCTCGTGATTCGTTGAAATTTGGAGTCGTCACTTAGGATGTCGCTAATTTTGTTCATGTATTCATGGGTAGGAATCAATACATATGCTGCTGTTTTGTCGGCTTTTCTTATTGTTACGTCTTTCAGATTTTTTAGTTGTTTCGCTGCTTCTTTGAGTCGTGGGGTTAAGATTGTAGATGAATATGTTCCTCGTTTTTTCCCTGCTTCTGCAAGTAGTTCAGCTTGAAGTGTGTCAGTGGTGATGACTTTTTTGTTGTCTTCTAGCTTATGGATATCGTCCAGAAGCATTTCGATTTCCAGGCGTTTTTGATGCATCTTTGGTTTAGATAAGAATTGACAATTTAGACCAAGATTTAAGAGGTCTCGTTGGTCCTGGGTAAGATCATAAGAAGTCAGGTTAAAGTAGCCATCTTTAGGACGAGGGATTTTTAGCTGTCCACCGTTTAGGGATGTTAACTTACGGAGTGTCTTTGTTTCTACAAGAGTTTTATGTTGTTGTTTCAGGTTAAATAGTTCACTGTTGATGGTTTGCTTGAGTTGGATAGGGATGTCGTACTGGGTCCATTTGTTTAACAGATGCTCCGCCTGCTCTATAAAGGTTTGGAGGGCTTCCTTCTTCTTGTTTAGTTGATGCCGAATGAGCTCTTGCCTATACCTATAGGTAAACTCTGTATTGCGGACTGCTGGGTCATGTGGGTTTATATTGGTGTATACTGGCAGCAGGTTTTCTTTCAAACATGTTTCATTGAATATGACCGCATATTCTGTATTTATTATTTTCTGGTTTAGGGCTTCTATCCCTCTAACTATTTTCTTAGCATCAGGGCTTAATTGAAATAGGAGTTCTCCAAAACTCATTTTCGTACTTTTAAGGTGAAGAAAAGAAGTGATTTACTATAGAGTGTATTACACTTATTTGTATAATTTGCACGACGTTTCGAACCTCCATGGTTCATTCTCAAGTGAACAGATCTTACAATACTAGTTGATTTTATACCCGCATTAGGTCAGGTGATAATACAATGAAGGTGAAAACATGGGGGATACATAAGGGATAAACATAGGGGCTGCAGAAGGCTTATTGGCCCATACGAGGCATCTCCTATCTAAACACAAAGATTAATCCAGTGTAACGGGCCTTGCATAGTAAGTGCTTAGAAGTGCGTTCTGGCTACTTATGTAGGTACG